GAAACATAGGAAACTCCAATAACCCCTCATTTTATCTGTCAAACTTTCATAGCGAATCCAAACAAACATTGTGTAGTACTAGAATTTCGACTAGAATGGGGGTACGTTAATCGATTTGCTTGGGACCAATAGGCTAGTCAAGTGTGAACCAATTTAAAATCGTTAGTTTCATATTGATTGTTGCTTTTACTGTAGGGCTTTAACGTAGATGAGTTCCGAGGAATAGCATGAGCCAATTTCTGTAAACGAGGCAGGACACGCTAAAAATCGTTTACCCAAATCCTATATTGTTGAAATAAAAATGCTTTTATTTTATTGCGGATCAGGTGTGAATGGTTAGACTCCTGCGCTAACAATAAGTACACAGTAATATCACAAACGAAGTGACAGACGGAGCGGCTCGAAAACTTTGGTGACGCACCTGCTATTGCAATTTTTCAGTGTACCACATGGCAACACCACTACTACTGGATTGTACCACATGGCAACACTACTATTGGATTGAATTAGCATTTTCACCAAATGTACTAGAATATTTTGGTTCTATCTCTTTCACTCTACTCAAAACTGAAATGCATAAAAAAAATGACAAAATGATACACACTCTTTGCACACTGTCAAAGAATCATTGTACACAAAATCAACTTTGTTCAAATCAAAACAAAAAAACTAACCCATCTGGTGGATGATGGCACAAGCTTCCAAGAAAATTCTATTACAGTGAACCACATTATTTAAATGGATTTCTTCGCCAGTTAGTCGTCTGTCACTTCGTTTGTGGTAATATTTTCGCACTGGTCATAAAAGTTAAATATGGAGCTTCTTAATGCTTTCTAGAGCCTTAATTCAACAGTGTAGCTTGCAAGTAATGTTCTTAAGCTGTTACTGCTTTCAAATAAGTCGAGTTTTTAATTTTCTGGCATGTGCGAAAATATTACTGTGCAATTATTTTTTGCACAACTGTTTTATTTGGTGCAACATATTTTTGTTTCAAAATGGTTTAAAATTTTTAAATTTACCGAAGATAAAACATCGTTTATTCATATACAGCATTAAAAAAAGTGATTTTTTGCTCATTTTGAGCTACTAACTCCCCTGGGCTTTGGCAAAACCTTGAGGTAGTTTAATTAGGCTACCAGGTCCCAGGGCTGATCTGGATCTTTACCACATTGGAAAGATGCACACTAGTGTTGCCAGATCAGTGTTGATGCTTACCAAAAGTGCATTTAAGCATATTAACAAATTAATCATCACCGTACATTGTTTATTGCTCTGTACTAATAATAAATGATTAAGTACAGTATTTGATATTTTAGTAGGAATGCTGGATTTAGTCGCAGTGGAAATCAATCCTTTATTGAATTGGATTTATTTCTATGGATTTGCACGTTTGGAAAGTATCATCACAAAGATTCTGCACTCGATCTACAGCTTGTGGGTGGGAAGCGTTGTGTTTGTTTTTTTATCTATTTATTGAATCAATTCTTAGAAATACGAAGCGAAAGACAAATCAAGCATTAAGCACAAGACCTTCAAGAAAACTAACAATACGAAGTCTGGAAATGGCAGTGTTTCATTCAAAACGTCAAGTATTTCAAGAATATTAACTCCGATCGTGACTTATTCAATGGAAGTTGCGACTGTTCTCAAAAGCAACAGAAATTCTCTTCGTATAATGGAAACCACCATGCTCGCAGCTCTAAAGCCTCTTAGTTTTGAAGCAAGACAGCGTCCTGAGGCATTCACCAATGAAATCCCAGAACAACCGCCACAAACTGTTATCAATGACTCACAAAGCGCAAGAAGGCACTCCCAACATATTGCAGTCAGAGAACACGAGCAACAAGAAAATTAGAGTGGCGCGGCTAAACTACTTTGGACATGTGGTAAGGAACACATCCCAAGGAATACTAGGGAAAGCTCTCAATTACCGCGTGCATGGAAAAAAGAAACTAAGACGACCCTGCTTCACGTGGAAAACGAGTTTCAAACAGGACTTCGAAAGAAGCAACACAACAGCGGCGCATTGGAGGGAATTGGCATACAACCGTGGCGAATACAAGACGGCCACAAAGAAAATATTCAACGCACTTATCGAGTCTTAATATGAATATTCGGAAGATTCCGTGAGCACGGAAAACACGGAAGATGATGTACGATTGTCGGAATTCGAAGGATTTTCGACTCTGGACAGCAAAGAGGAGCCTTTCCACGGATTTTAGCAGCTAAGTAAATAACAAAATGTAAGTACATTATCAATCACTAAACTAATCAATAACACAAGTAAATGAAATCATAAAACAAGAATTACAGGTATTGCAAAACATGATCCTCTGTACGTTTACTTTCCAACTTTTACTAACTGGCGAAGAAATCAATAAAAATAATGTGGTTCGCTGTAATAGAATTTTCTAAGAAGCTTGTGCCATCAGCCACCAGATGGTCTAGTATTTTTGTTTTGATTTGAACATAGTTGATTTTGTGTGCAATATGATCTTTGACAGTGTGCAAAGGGTGTATCATTTTGTCATGTTTTTTTTTTGCATTTCAGTTTAGAGTAGAGTGAAAGAGATAGAACCAAAACATTCTAGTACATTTAGTGTTGCCATGTGGTACAATCCATTAGTAGTGTTACCATGTGGTACAATCCAGCAGTAGTGGTGTTGCCATGTGGTACACTGAAAAATTTCAATAGCAGGTGCGTCACCAAAGTTTTCAAGCCGCTCCGTCTGTCACTTCGTTTGTGCTAATACTATTGTTACTCCGACTATCCCCTACCTGAAACACTATTCCTCCCTATCCGGCATCTTAAGCAGGATTCAATTAATCCCTGTGATTATTATTCTGTGGTGCCAAATCTTTACCTCTACCCTTGTGCTGTATGGTCAGTGATGTTTTACTGGAGACCTGGCCCTACGACCCCCTTCTGTGCTTGAAATTGAAAATGAAACTGGTTTTAAATTTACTTTGAATAACTCATCTGTGAACATTAATATTTTTGATTTAAATGAAAAAAAAATGGTTCCGTGTACAAATCAAGCAAAAATATAGATTATAAATAGCTGCCGATGCAAGTTCCCTAAGCTCTGTTTTTGTCGGTTTGCTTCGGTAATAGAAGGATTTTTTATGGGATACTCGTCCATCCTATCCTCCTCCTGCACTTGCTCTACTTCCATCGGCTTAACATCCGGCAAATGGTCATTTTCTTGTCCAGCTTTCTGGGGGTGACACTACAGGCTGTGGGCCCTCAATGCTTTAAATGAAAGCTGTATTGAGCCACACCAGCACCGTAATGGAACAATATTCAGATAACCTGAAACTAACACAGTGCATCTGGAAATAAAACAAGATAATGCTCAATGATTTACAGAAAAATCAAAATAAACCTTTCAGTTTTCCGTACTCTTCTGGGTTCAGTTGGTCTTTTAGGACTTCCATTTTCTCGATCGTCAGAAAATAAATCCTATTCGCACCAATGCACCAATCTTATGAGAAATCTCTACTTCCGCCAAATATTATCGCGCTTATGTTAAATCAAGCTGAACTTTGCATTAGGTCGATTCTCTTCGTCGACTTTCTCTTTCGTTAATAACTTATTCACAGAACAGTTTCTTGATGTGTTTGTCGTATTGGATGCTAGATAAAAGCTTCTTTTATCGATTTATGTGCTGAAAATACCTGGGAATGGCTTTACATGACCATGGGGATGCAAAGAGAAAGTCGACGAAGAGAATGTGCAAAGATATCTAATTAACAAGATATCCCACTAATCAATTCTTCATACAAGGCATATAATGACTACCCTTATGTGATAGCAGTGCCATCTGTTGAGTGCACATTGAAACTGTTGGAAGTTCCCCGCCAACTTCACCACCAGGGCTGAATAACTGACAGGAGTCAGCATGACATATGTCAACGCGGACGAGGAAAGAGGACGATATTATCCTCGAAGTCATCATCATTATATTGCGATAGCAAGATTCTTACATGTTTGTGATTGCTCCGATTGTCAATCATTACCACTTTATACGCAACAGAAACACTTGAGAAAACAATCACACATCCAAGCGCGCATCATGCTTGTAATATATTTTTGCTTTCGAGTGAAAGAGTTTCCAATATACACACCCAATATTTATTGCCGTAATCCAGCAATATTTTGCTGCATTTTACCGAACTGGAAGTTCAGCAATCCTTCCAGCAAAATATTTTTGCTGGATAACCAGTAAAATGATCCTTCAATTAAGTAACAGCACATCACTGAAAACCCAGCAAAATTTTGCTGATACTTCAGTAAATAGAAGCAGCAATTAATTTACAGTGGAAGGGAATGGAAAATTTTAGTTTGGAATTGATTGGATGTCACAAAATCATTCTAAATATCTTTATTTATTCAAAGCTTATCATATATGGTATCATGTGTTGGTGGGGGCGATATTTATATACGCCACCACTGCGACACCGACGATGAGTCGACAAACCAGTCGACGAACGAGAGAGAGGAAAAAGAGTAAGTAAAGAACAGAAACGACTTTCAGTTACTTTTGTACCGACCGCGAATAAAGTTGTTTTCGTACCGAGCTCCGTGTTGCGTTTTTCTTTTCTGGCCTCGTTACGCGTTCACGCGAGTTTCTGCCTTGTGTCGGGTTCTGTCCGCTGTGATAACCTGCTGGTCGATCCCGTTTTCCCACAGGTTATGGGCCCAGGTGAGGCTGAAGAAAAGTGGTAGTGCGATTTTCCCCCGGAACTGAACATTTTCTGCGAAGTGAAAATTCGGCGTGGAGAAGCGGAGCGTTGAGTCGGTGGCGTTGGTTTCGATAGCGTCAGTGGCGTACGGTTGGTTGCCTGTGTGCGTGTGTTGCTCGGTCGTGAGACGGGTGGATAGCAGCAGCGAGAGTGAATTCGCGTGCATTGGTTGAGGTTATAAACGAACGTGTTCTATCGTGTCGTGTTTTGAAGAAAAAACAGTTTTTCGTCAGTGAGTTCGAGCAAAATCGAAAATGGCTGAGAAACATGTGTTATTTCCACGCCTCAATAACCAGAATTATTCGACGTGGCAACTGCAGATGGAGATGCTGTTAAAGCGGGATGAATTATGGTTCGCGGTGCATGACGCGAAGCCGACACCAGTCACTCCCGTTTGGACGACAGCAGACCAAAAGGCGTTGGCTAACATCGTGTTGTTTTGTGAGGATAGCCAGCTAAACTTGATCAAGAACGCAAAATCGGCCAAGGATGCGTGGGCCGTGCTGAAGAAGTTTCACAACAAAGCCACGATGACATCTCGTGTGTCGCTGCTCAGAAGGATCTGTAGCTTGAATATGACGGAAGGAGGAAACGTGGAGAAGCACCTCTTCGAGTTAGAGGAGCTATTTGACCGACTGGAGTGCGCCGGTCAGAAGCTGGAAACACCACTGAAAGTAGCGATGATTTATCGCAGCCTCCCGGAATCATATGGCGGATTGGTGACGGCGATGGAAAGCCGTCCGGACGCAGATCAGACGATCGAATTCGTCAAACAGCGGCTGGTCGACGAGTATTTGCGCAGAGTGAAGCGTTCCGGTGAGTGTAGTGAAACTGCGATGAAGCTGCAAAGCAAAGGGCGGAAGGAGAAGAAGTGCTACAATTGCGGTAGGCCTGGTCTTTTTCGTCGTGATTGCCGGTTGTTGCAGCAGGATAAGAAGAAAGAAGAAGATTCCAGAAGTGCACACTAAAAAAATATGAATATTACCGGTGACGCAAATCCAAAAATGAATCAATATAACATGACGCAACTTGAAAAATGACAGAATTTTATGTCCCATATGACCTAAATAAAACAAGCGACTTCAATATGAAACATTTACGTCATAACACTTACATTATTGCTGCTTCCCATTTAATTTTACATGAATGATATCAAACTTAAAACAAGTATATTTTTTTTCGGTGTGCGAAGACATAAATTTACACGTATCAACACATAAACAGGCGTCAGCGGCACCAACAGTTAAACAGAATCAAAACGTCGTCGGTTGTGCGCGATTGAGCTGTAATTCGTAAAGTGTGGTAAATATGGTGATAATTTGCAAAATTTGTGGTATTTCTACTGAAAACACGGAATTTTATGTAAAACATGTTCGATTACATAAAAAAAACATCCATTTCGAGTGTGCGGTAGGAAATTGTGCGGTAGTGTTTAAGAAATTTCCGTGCTACGTTACGCATCTCCGTCAGCGTCATATTGGGCGCAAAAATGATTTTCAACTCGAGTGTCCACTTTTGACCTGCAGTTTCGAATCTGCAGAACTTAAAACAATGACCAAGCATGTGTCACGGCATATATCGGAAGGGCACCCGGTATTTTGCCCATTAAAATGCCGTACTAGCAAGCCATTTGCCACAGTCAACACCCTCAGGATACATAACATGTACTACCATCAAATAACAGCCCAGAAGCAGCCACCCCGCAATAACTATCCGCGTCCTGAAAACGAATTAGCTGCTTCTGAGAAGAACTCTGAGCTTCCGTTGATTACAGAAACCGACAATCATGAAGAAACCCTTGATGAACAATTAAGTGATGTGCAAAGAAGTATTGAAATGGTGTTTGGGACATTATTCTTGAAACTTATTTCGAAAAATCATGTCACTGACGTTGTGATTCAAGAGATTGTTGATTCCATGCAGGAAGCTGCTACGGTCGGAAGGCAATATTTACAGCTGAAATGCGAAAAAATTGCTGAAGAAATCAATCTTCCTCTGGACATGAAAGGAAAGATGAAACAGTTCATGTGTTTTAACAACTTGTTTGATCACCTCTTCGGAGAGGGAGGAAAGTTCCGTTCCTCGCACATTCGGAAAAAGTTTTATCAAAAGCACTTTTCATATATTTCTCCTACCCAAGTCCAACTCCACAGAAATAGTGATCATAATCCTTGTTTTTACTATTATGTTCCGATCTTAGACACTCTATCGGCAATGTTGAATGACAGCCAAATCTATAACGCAGTATTCCGCGATAAGCATTTTGTTCCCGGATACATGACAGATTACACCGATGGTCTGAAATACAAAAACAGCAGATTCTTTAGCCAGAAAACTTTGAACTTGTTCATTTACCAAGACGCAGCTGAAGTAGTTGTGAATGCTATTGGGAACGCAGCAGGCCGTCATAAGCTTGAATGTGTATATATGGTTATAGGTAACCTAGACCCGCACTTACGTAACCTTACAGAAAATGTCCACTTAATTTTACTCTGCAAGGCAAAAGACTTTGCTTATTTTGGCACTGATAAAATCTTCAGGAGGCTGGTTGAAGACATTAAAACCCTTGAAGAAACTGGCATTCTTGTACATGGAGGGGGGTATGAGGAGAGAATTTATGGTTCGGTGTTTACGACAATGAATGACAATTTAGGAGCCCACCAACTAGCAGGCCTGACCGAGAATTTTTCTAGAAGTTCATTCTTTTGTCGTTTTTGTTACATTCAGCATCAAGCCTTCCAAAATGACTGTTTTACTATTGCCGATCCAAGAACACCTCAATCAAATCGCCAGGACGTTGTCAAGATTAATAGCATACCATCTGAAATACCGTACCGTGGCGTCAAAGCAGCATGCATCCTCAACGAACTGATTTACTTTCAGATGTTTTACTATGGGGCGCCACCTTGTATTGCCCATGATCTTTTTGAAGGATGGGCTAATAATGATATGTTTTTAATATTCCACCGTATGGCGAAAGAGAAGCTCGTCTCCGCCAATTTTTTGCAAGCAAGAATTAATAGCATTTGCAAACAACTGAAACTCAAAACTAAAATAGCTTTGGACTTCTCTAGAAAAATGAAAAATATCAAAGCTAAGGCTTGTGATACTTGGCACCTAATTCAAATTCTTCCATTCATATTCATCGACAAGGCAATAGACTTCAATATCCCATTAATGTCAATGCTACTCTTGATCAAACAGATAACTGATATTATTACATCCCCAGTGGTTTCAAAAGAACAAGTTCAGTTACTGTCCGCTCTAATAAGAGAATATCTCGAACTGAGGATGCAAGAATTTGATGTACCCTTAAGACCAAAGCACCATTTCACCTCTCATTATCCTCAACTCATACTTTGGTTGGGACCATTAATGTCCTATTGCACGCTTTTCTGCGAGCGAAAGCATTGCTTTTTCAAAAGAGCGTTGAGAAGTACGCTGAACTTCAAAAACGTTGTTAAGTTTTGCAGCGAACAGCATCAATACTATCAGGGCTTGCTTAATATGAAAAACGTTCGATTCAATCTAGATTTTTTAGTTATAAAGTTCTTGGAATCGTCTGATTATTTGCCACTAGCGATAAAGAATCAGTTGTACGAATACAAGCTATTGGACCAACAAAATGTTTATGCCGAAGAAGCTGCCTATTGCGGATATAGCTACAAAAAAGGACAATATGTTTTTCTAAACCATGACAAGTATGGAGAGTATTTCTTTGTCCTGGAAATTCAACTTTTGATATACGAAAAGGAAAGGAACAATATTTTCATCTACGGCAACCGTAAGGCTGTTTTAAACATCCACGAAAGAGGACTACTACTGATTCATAAGGAATGTTTGATGGCAGAGGCCATTAATATCAAAGAACTAATTGATCGAGCTCCATTGGATTTTTATAACGAAACTAACAAAGATTATTTGTTCATCAAGCATTCAATTCCATTCATAAACTGATCATAACAAAAGACAAACATGGATTCTCTGATAGTGTTCAGAATTTGCGACTCGACACGATTACACCGTTTTGCAATACCAGCATTTGGAATCACAACAAGTTTGCTGGAGGAAGGTAAGCAAACATTTTTGATATATTATATATAAATAATAAATAATAATTTATTATGGGATTCCAGGCTCAGCAACGTTGGGTAAAACCGTAACACAAATAGTAACTGAACATGATGGATGCCGCATAACTTCTGACTTGGTGCTCCAAATATTCAAAGACAAGCTGCTGATGCTATTGGAACCGAACGAAATGTGGGTGGCGATTGAAACGTTGAATCCTCCGTATGATGGAACCAATTTGCAGTCTGATGGTATGTAAATTTTTGTTCTGTTCATTTTTATTTTTTGTTATACGTACATATAAAATACAGTAAACTCTCTCTCTAACTCATGGAAACCTAGGCTACTTAAACCACTGTTTCCATATTAATTTCTGAAATTTGATTCCATAACACGTAATCCTTCCTTCAATACCGAGATAGGGAAGCTGACTGTAAATTGATTGAACGTTGTGTTCACATTTAGGCGTCTTGTTGGCTTCATTGGTACACTTTGATCACATGTGATGAGGTTTTAGAGCATCCAAAATTGAAAATTTCTTACCGTTAAACAGTTAAGCGTCTAATTTACAGTACCGTAAAACGTAGGAGTGCCAGACACATATGGTAAAATGATTTTTACTTTCGAGAAGAATAAGCGTCTTGAGTCGATACCTTGAGATTTTTCCTGGTCGTTCTAACATTCTATCCACAAAATGCACTAATCCTGACATTTGAGACCAGCACTTCATTGCTAGGATCACAGTAATTCGCTGCCATGAGTATTTTCTTCTACGATCACCGAGATGGTTTTTTTTCTGAAATTAATTAAAATAGCTGCGAATGTTACACAAATAATCGAATACAATGTCATAATGCTTACCAGAATGGATATGTATATTCTCAATGAATTTCAGATTTAATACCACCGGAAAACCTGCTTTCAGAACATTTTTCGGAGTCTATTTTTGAGATTGTGGATTCGGATTGCATAATAACAAATATAAAACGCTAATCCGTCACTGTATTTTGTTGATCTGACAATGACAGATTGCAAACACGGCGGAAAAAAGTTATAACACGCTGCGAATTAACTACCCAATTTTATGTAACTGAATCACAAATTAGAGTCTGCGTATCAGAATCACGCAAAGAGTGAAGCCAAATCTACCTATATTGATCCGTCAAACCGTCTACCTATCGTATGAAGTAAATGAACAGTACGGTACTATGAATGCTCAGTGAAAGATATTGCAATAATTAAAAAAGTATCAATGAAAATTTGATCACAAACCCACCGTAAGCTTTAGATTGTTATGCGCTATATTTGGAATTGATCATTATTATGTTGTGATATCCTGAATCGTTGAAATTGTAATTTACTACATCCGCAACGGCCCTTCTGGCTAGTTGCTACTGAATTGAGAGTAACAGTTTACTCTGCGAAATAAACTATCGAGATTAAAAATATTGCCTAATGTTTTTAGCCACAAGAAATCATCGGTATTAATTTCATTGGTTTGCCTTATGAACCATAATAATTATTGTTGAAAAACATTCACTGCAGACAGGAATCGAGCCATGATGGTTATTTCACCCGGTCTGGACTACATGTCTGTCAGCATTTGGAAAAAAAGCCAAATGTATATAATAAATTTTTCATTTAAAGTTTGCATTTGAATTTTCAGCTGACAAAAGATTAACTTTAATCGGCAGTTTTGTATTTATGGGTAATGATAACTCTTTTAACGTATAAAAATGGTACACATTATAGTGAATATTTGCAGATATGTGCTGGTTTTTAACCCATAAGTAGATAACTAACTCATTTTATCGTGTAGAAATCGTTAACACAGAGTAACTCACAACAACTCAAAACCACAGACAAACAAACATAACACATTGAAAATTTCTCACTGTAAAACATCGTCGCTAAAACATTACCGCCATCTGTTGAGTACACTGTGGTGGGCACTATGCTGAACAGATGGCGGTAGTGTATAAACGTCAAACGCAAGGGAATTGACTATGCGCGCCACAGGTGGCGGTACTACCAACTACGATACTTTTAAATTGTCCGTTAAATGCTTGTTCTATGAACAACTTGCCAGCATTATGTCTGTTTGTCTGTTTCAAAACTGTCACAAATGTAAAGGCCTCCTTCCACTGCCCTCAACAGTGGACGTAATTTTTTAATCACCCCTTACTCAGAAAATTTGGTAAATTTTACCCATATTTGTAAGTATAGATTTACCCAAATTTGAATAAATTTTGGCATATCTGCCAAAAAGATACTGATATATTTATAAATCCAATATGCATAGATTTGGGTAAAATATTTACCATTATTTCAAGTTATTCTATTTAACCAAATTTGGGTACATACCATATTCTGAGATAGGAGACTAAATTATCAAATTCCTAGGTGAACTAGTCTACACGAAACGACAAAAGTACCTAAAAGTTAGTTTTATTCACCCATGTCGGAAGTTCCGTGAGCCAACTTAATTTTGAGTTAGCACGCTTGAAGTACACGCTTAAAACCAAGTCCCAATTTTCGTACACAATATTTGAATTTTTTTATGGGGAAGTAACCATCTCTCCAAAAAGTGCACATACCCAAAGAACGGGTTAAATTTTCTACTCAAAAATGAATCATTATTACCCAGATTCGGCAGCGTTTCTTCGAGTAACCTATTTTATTGTTTCTCGAAGACCTTTGCGTTTGTGGGTAACTTTTGCCCATTTGTGCATTAAAAACCGTAAGTGCAAATTTTGAAGAGATGGATTCTCCTCCATACAACATTCAAAAATTAGGTACGAAATGTGGTACCTCATTTTTAGCGTGTAGTTATCATCCGCTTGCACGTTTTAAGTTGTAGATCACTAACTCAATTTTAACTTGGCGCATTTGGCGCTTCAAAAACCATTGGGTTGTTTTGTTTTTCCGTGTTGGGCTAAACTCTCGTTTGTAAATTTTGACTTAATTGTTGCAAATGAGTAACTGTTTCTCCTTTTTCCTGTAACAAATGAGTTACAGTTACTCCTTTGTGAGTAACAGTTATTTATTTAATGGGTTAAATAAAACTCGTTTCCTGGTTTGATTTGCTTTTGATAAAAAAGGTGGAATTATACTCATTAATAGGTGCTTTCAAGACAGTGTGGAATGTTGTTTTTGACAGTTTAGTTTATTAACCCAAATAAGTATCAAACTATTTGTGTGTCATCAGATCTATCTTGTAAATTTTAAATTGGGTTAATCGATAACCCAGATTTGGGTAGTTCATTCATAGTGTGTTGTTTACATCTGATCGTTTTCAGCATTCTGATATTGTTTTATTATATAGTCAAACATGTATTTAAAAGGTTCTATTTAACTGTGATAAAAAATTATATGAAGACTATTACACATGTTTACTTACAGGTGACTCAGCATTCCGTCAACATCTCACCAGCAGCTTTCGAAACGAACAGACGACAGTTATGGATATCGATGCTTCTTTATTTCTTCAGCAAGTCGCTACTCCACCCAACATAATTTCCGTTCTTCCCACCTCAAGCAGAATACGTGATCAACAACAGCCTTCGTCACATGGAATATCAAAATCTCCACAGAACCAACGGACAGTTATACAGGAAAATATCAGTGATTCAGCTGTGCACGATAACGCCGCTTTTCGACCGGTCAGTGTGAATGATAAGGAAACTGACGAAGAGTCTTTTGGTGAACAGGATGAAAATTCAAATCCAAACAGCAGCGCAGAGAAAAGATCATTTGATGAAGTTAAAGTATTGAAAGGTTCCAAGAAACATGCTTCTTGTGAGATGAAATTCAATACATTTCAAGTGAATTGGACCAAGGTCAGTGACGGTATTCTTGATCATCTGCAGCAAATGCAAGATTTCCGCAACGAAAATTCAAGCCAACGTGTGCCTTCATCCCTACAGATTTCAAAGACTGACTTGAGTGGACTGGCGAATTCTGTAGTTGATCAGTTAAGAACAATTGACCATCGTATTCGAGCGGACGTCATGGAAAGTGCGGCACGGCAAATTATCAACAAGTTTCCTTGTCTGAACTTCGTAGACGACGACGGATTCGGGACAGGAACAGGTTATGTATGGTTGAAGCACAAAATGATAAACCGTAATACTTATCTGAACCGTTACAAAGCACCGAATCAACCAAAAGCTTCTACTACAGAAATCAGGCGATATCGGAATTTGCGAGCTGGAACAACAAAGGAATACTGGCAAAAATCAAGTCAAAATTGTTCCAAAGAAGTCCTCTCGATTCTTTCACGGAACGAACCGGAGTTCCTGACGAATGAATTTCTAGACGCATCTCAATCGTATGTTCGATATCGCTTCGACGAGGATAAGCCACTGAAAGATGTTTTGACAAGCCTTCCAGTATTGAGACGAAGATGTCTTCTGAATTACCACTTTGAGAGTGCAACGGGCGTGACAGCGGGATCTTTGGAACAATACTTCACTGCCAAACGATCGAAAATCATCGATTTTTCGATGACAAATCGCAAAATTGGACGTTTGCATGCCAATGCTTCGGATTACGATATCTTCACATTCCTTTGTCGTTCGTTGGGAGAAAAAATTGATGATGTGATTATTTTGAAAGAAGTAATAGATATGAAGTGCAAAGATTTCATCAATTTATTTAATGAGTATAATATAATATTCCTTTCAGATGGGAACGAAGCTTGATGACATTGCAACCGACTGTTCAGGACCAGTACTCGTCGCCATAGGTAAGCTGTTTTTTTTACGTTTTAGAGTTGTTAGTGGATAGGTTCAAAACTAAAATATTGCTGTTCTATTTTACTTATTGTTACACTGGTTTCCTTTCAACTCATTTTGTATGAAATTAATGCAACATAGTTATTAAAATTCATATTTTCATCTTAATGTTTCAGACTGCGGAAACAACAAACGGGTGTTCTATGTGTTTGCCGAACAAGTACCCTTGAGCGAAGGAACTGAAAATGTTGTGGTCGCTGTTACGGACTTGATGTGTGTTCACTATGTACACAATTTTATGTACATGAAGCAAGTATCGAAATTCATGGAGTTCACTCAGGAATATTTTTTCAAAATTCTTCCGACAACTGGATCAAAATCAAGTGCTACGCGTAAGGGACAGCAGCAGCGAGTAGTTAAACGTATCATCGAGGCCATTGCTAATCACATTCCTGAGAAGCAGTAGCATGAATGTATAGCCAGACATTACAGATGCCAAGCCTGATGATGGATGACGGAAACGAAATGATGTTATATTTAGAAGCAAGCCAGGCTTAAAATATCATTTTTTTTTATAGTTAGATATGCATAGAGAAAAAGATCAATATAACAACGATCAAATATCAAAATAAACAATGTATTTTTGAGCAAATTTGTTTTTTTTTTTATATTGTTAGAAATACCTCACCAACAATGCCAATTAATGCTAATAAGTGCAATAAAAAATACTAACGATTTATTATGATATTACAAGAAAAAAAAATATAATAGTTGCATAACTCAGTGTAAAAAATTTCGCTCATAATCCATGTTACTGGTCATTATTACAAATAACCTTAATCTTTTTAAGATTGTAATATTACGTTTCTGGTTTTAAGAAAACCATTGGATTAATCTACAAAAGTACATCTTAAGACTGCTGGGGTTCCTAGTGGAAAACCAATATAACAAAAGTGAAACTGTGTGTTTTGATTAACACAACCGATGAGAGTAACTCAAAGTTAAGCCAAATTTGACGCACAATTACAAATGGGTTGGTAAGACAGTAAAATTTTCATTGTTTTTCCTCAAGAATCTTCTCAAATATAAGGAAAGTCACCGAAAAGTTTACTCAGTCTAGGAGTAAACTGATGTACTGAGTGAAACCACTTTAAATTTTCCTCATATTCACTTTTTGAAATTTTTAGTTAAATTAGACTCAATTTTTGTCAAACTAGGTTCAATTACTCAGTTACCCTCAGTTATCGGTCGTGTAGAGTGTATACGAAAAGTTTTACACTGATAAAAATCTGATTTCCTTACGAGAAACCCCAATTATTAATGCACATGTAATTTTATGCGTTGAAGTAAAAAATTACGTCACATTTTAATTTTACATGATACAATCGTCAACGCGTAAAATTACAGATTTATGACATTTCGTATCGTGTAAAATTATAAGCGAATGTAAAAATATGTCATTTTTGACGCTCGTATATGTCAGTCTCAGGAAACCTAAAATTACACGAATTTTTCGAAGTGTGTGACAAGAAGAGAAGTGCGCGTAAAGCCAAACAGGCTGTCGAAACGGAAAGCCCGATTTGCTTCACGGTTGGAAGCAATCGGTGCAGCGGTTCGTGGTACGTGGACAGTGGCAGCTCGAGCCACATGACGAACGAGAAAGCCTTTTTTCGGGAACTGAATGAAAATGTGAAGATCGATGTTGTGTTGGCCGATGGATCTGTGACCAGATCGGCCGGAATCGGCGAAGGTGTTGTGAAGTGTGTTGACAATGACGGCCGCGTGAGAGACATTACCTTTCAAGATGTGTTGTACATGCCGAACCTGGACAGTAGTTTGTTGTCGGTTCGGAAGTTAACACAAAAGGAACTGAAGGTGAAATTCGGCGCGTCAAGGTGCACAGTGGTGAATATGGAAAGAGAAGTGGTTGCAGTGGCAGTTCTTAGTGGAAACCTGTACGAGCTGAGCGTGGCACAGGATGCACGGCTGAGCAAGGAGGTTCGGCATTCGGAAAGCTGCCAGCACATCTGGACACCGCGACCCTGCGGTGCTGCAGCGCATCCAAGCGGAGGAACTCAGCGATGGCTTCCAGGTGACAGACTGTGGAATTAGGCAAGTCTGTGAACGCTGCCTGCAAGGTAAACTTTCTCGTATTCCCTTTCCCAAAATGAGTAGCAACAGAACAGGTCGCATTCTGGATCTGGTACACACAGATGTGTGCGGTCCTATGAAGTCGGTCACACCCGGAGGTTGTCGTTATTTGATGACCATAATTGATGACTTCAGTCGCTATACGGTGGTCTGTCTTTTAAGGCAAAAGTCTGAGGCAGCCGGGTGCATCAAGAGATTTGTGGCACATGCGAGGACAAAATTTGGAAGAGTGCCTTGCGTCATTAGATCCGACGGCGGAGGCAAATATGTGAACCAAGAGCTTAACGAGTTCTATGCCTCGGAGGGAATTCAAGCTCAGTACACGGCTGCCTACTCCCCGCAGCAGAACGGAGTTGCGGAGCGGAAGAACCGCAGCCTCCAGGAAATGGCAACCTGCATGTTGCTCGACGCAGGTCTCGGGAAGCAGTACTGGGGGGAGGCAGTGATGACTGCCGGTTACATCCAGAATCGTATGCCGTCACGATCTGTGGACAAAACGCCGTTCGAGAGATGGATCAGACGGAAGCCATCGCTGAAGCATTTTCGAGTGTTCGGGAGTGCTGCATATGTGCACATCCCGGACGTTAAACGTAGTAAATTGGACGCTAAAGCTCAGAAACTGTTATTCGTAGGATACTGCGAAGACCGTAAGGCTTATAGATTCCTCGATCCGGAGACCAACAAGATTACCATAAGCCGAAACGCTCGTTTTGTGGAGCTGCAGAATGGTTCCATGATGATGGATCGTCGGTATGGCAAGCAGGATGAAGATTGTGTGGTGTTCGACTGGGGAATGAACGATGCCAAGGTTCAGGAGGAGCAGGATGAACAGCAGCAGATTCAGGAGGAGAATTCGGAGTCCGAAGAAGAATTTTACGGTTTCGAAACCGAGGAAGAAGATCCCGTCGGCCTAGCCGTTCAAGATCAAACAGTTCGGAGCACAAGAGGCGTACTTCCGAAGCATCTGCGAGATTATATGGTGGACGTAGCCATGGCTGTCGAGCAAGAACCTGTGAGCTACGAGGACGCAATCGGGAGCTCTGAGCAAATGTTGTGGAAGGTTGCTATGAAGGAGGAGTTCGACTCGCTCATCCAAAACGGGACGTAGAAACTTGTGGAGCTGCCCGCTGGACGAGAACCAATAGGCTGCAAATGGGTTTTTAACAGGAAGGAAGACAGCGTTAGCAATGTAACCCGTTTTAAGGCACGCTTAGTGGCGCAGGGGTTTTCACAACGCCCTGGTATAGACTACGACACAGTTTTCGCGCCAGTGGCTTCGCAGAATACCTTGCGGGTTCTGCTTACCGTAGCGGGACATCATCGGATGAGCGTGCATCATATTGACGTAAAGTCAGCGTATCTTCACGGGCGGTTGCAGGAAGATATATACATGCAGCAACCAAAAGGATTCGTGCAGTCAGGCAAGGAGAATCTGGTCTGCAAGCTAGAGCGCAGTCTTTATGGGTTGAAGCAAGTGGCCAAAGTGTGGAATGAAACTATCAGCGCAATATTGAAGGAGTTGGGGTTTGAACAGTCACAGGCGGACCCATGTTTGTATGTCAAGGCTTTGAGAAGCGGCGTACGAGTCTATTTATTAATATATGTGGATGATATGCTGCTTGCGAGCACCGATGTCAACGAAATAAAGCAAACCGAGAAGAAACTAGCGAATAGGATGAAGCTTTCATCTCTAGGAGAAATCTCGTTCTTCTTGGGGATACGCGTCACCAAGGACTGTGAAGGATATTATAATCTGGATCAAGAGGTGTATGTGAAGAAAGTTGCAAACCGATACGGACTTAGCGAAGCAAAAGGATCAAAACTACCGCTGGATGTTGGCTATTCTCAAAGCCGGAAAGACAGCAAGAGTTTGCCGGAAAATAAGCGCTACCATAGCCTGGTTGGAGCGCTGCTCTACGTCTCGGTGAACACTCGGCCGGACATCGCAGCGAGCGTAGCGATTTTGGGAAGGTGTGTTAGCAGTCCCGTAGAAGCTGATTGGACTGCCCGTAAAAAAAAGGAACCGTAGAGGTACAATGAAATGTATTGTAACCATACAATAGAGTTTATTGTATTAACAATAAATCGTATTCTCCACAACGATAAAATTACAATAGAATGTATTGTTTTTACAATGGAATCTATGGTATATGGGAGAATATACAATAGAACAAGGGGGTCGTTATGTATCTTAACCATACGAAAAATCACTTTTTCCCGAACAAACTTGAACCATTTACCATTAATTGTATTGTTGTTCTATTGTTGAAAACTCTTACTATATGGGACGTATTGTGCATCTATTGTAATAAGATTATGTTAAAATTTCATGTACTATATACGCACAACAAGATCGATTGTTGGCGATAGATTTACTTGTAATTGTATTTTATTTTATGGTAATTGTATGGTTATTTTTTTCCGGGTGAACTGAAGCGCGTCGTTCGATACCATATGAGTACAAATTGCTATAAACTGAAGTTGTCGACGAACAGAGTGGAGCCTATTAACACTTCGAATACGATGCCTCCGAAAAACGTGTAACGGCAAGTTTGCAATGGCACAACTTAGCCATTTCTTAATAAATTTCAAAAATTGTGGTAATTTTAGAATTCCTAGGGCTTCTAGATTATTTTGATTGCAAAAAACTTGAAAATAGAGTCGTCTACTTTTTTAAAAAGCGAAAAGAGTTGTTACACGTTTTTTTGAAAGGTGTGTTTGTAGGGTTTTGCAAGTGTCGCAAGATCTGTAATTTAGATTAATGGGCACAAATGTTCACAATTAGCCAGAATACAGTCATGGTTCCTATATATGGATCCTGGAGACAACAGAACGGTCCTCGAAAAATGCGGAACATTCGTAAAAATGATCAATCCATGATCCTGATCCTAGAGCTCTGCGTTTTTTTAAACATTAGGAACTGTGATATAAACAAATATTTGGGGTCGTGACATAAACATGTACCTGGATGGCCATGGGACCGTCCTCCGGAAGATCCGGTACATCCGTAAAAGTGGACAATCCATGAAACTGATCCTAGCGCTCCGTGTTTTTTTTAACATTAGGATCTGTGATATAAGAATGAATTTGGGTCATGGACCCAGATGGCCATGGGATCGTCTTCCGGAAGATCCGGAACATCCGTAAAAGTAGTAAATCCACGATCCTGCTCCTGGAGCTCCGCGTTTTTTTTATAAACATTAGGAACTGTGATGATAGAAAGAATTTGGGCTTGTGACATAAAAATAAACCTGGATGTCCTCTGGATGATCCGGAACATCCGTTAAAGTGATCAATCCATGAAACTGATCCTAGAGCTACGCGTTTTTTTTAACATTAGGATCTGTGATATAAGAATAAATTTGGGTCATGGACCAAGATGGCCCTGCGGAAGATCCGGAACATCCGTAAAAGTGGTAAATCCACGATCCTGATCCTAGAGCTTCGTGGTTTTCTTGAAAACATTAGGAACTGTGATGATAGAAAGAATTTGGGCTAGTGACATAAACATGAACCTGGATGTCCATAGGAGCGTCCTTCAGAAGATCCGGATCATCCGTAAAAGTAGTAAATCCACGATCCTGCTCCTGGAGCTCCGCGTTTTTTTTTTTATAAACATTAGGAACTGTGATGATAGAAAGAATTTGGGCTTGTGACATAAAAATAAACCTGGATGTCCTCTGGATGATCCGGAACATCCGTTAAAGTGATCAATCCATGAAACTGATCCAAGAGCTACGCGTTTTTTTTAACATTAGGATCTGTGATATAAGAATGAATTTGGGTCATGGACCAAGATGGCCATCGGACCGTCCAGCCAAAGCTCCGGAACATCCGTATAAGTGGTAAATCCACTCTCCTGATCCTAGAGCTCCGCGTTTTTTTTTATAAACATTAGGAACTGTGATGATAGAAAGAATTTGGTGACATAAATATGAACCTGGATGTCCATAGGACCGTCCTGCGGAGGATCCGGAACATCCGTAAAAGTGGTAAATCCACGATCCTGATCCTAGAGCTCCGTGGTTTTCTTGAAAACATTAAGAACTGTGATGATAGAAATAATTTAGGCTTGTGACATAAACATGAACCTGGATGTCCATGGGACCGTTCTGGGAAAGATCCGGAACATTCGTGAAAGCAGAAAATTAACGAAACTGATCCTAGAGCTCCGTGGTTTTCTTGAAAACGTTAGGAACTGTGATATTAGAATGATTTTGGGATCGTGACATAAACATGGACCCAGATGGCTATCGGAACGTCCTCCGGAAGATCCGTAAAAATGGTCCATCCATGATACTGTTTCTAGAGCTCCGTAGTTTTGTCGAAAACACTTCTAACTGTGATACATGAAAGAATTTAGGGTCGAGACATCAACATGAACCTGGATGGCCATTGGAACGTCCTCCAGAAGATCCTGATCATCCGTAAAAGTGGATCATCGACCGTGGTTTTTTTTTCGAAAACTCTTGGAACTGCGATTTAAGATAGAATTTAGGGTCGTGACATAAACATGGATCCGGATGGCCATGAGAATATCCTCCAAAAGATCCGGAACATCCGTAAATTTATCATACTATAAAACTGATCCTAGAGCTCTGCAGTTCTTTTTTAAACACTGTGATATAAGAAACCTCTGGATCACTTTTACGTATGTTCCGTATCTTCCGGAGGACGGTTCTATGGTCATCCACGTCCGTGTTTTTTTTATCTTTATTAAGGAGACTTTCAGCCCTGGGTTGGTTCGTCTCCGGTACGTGTTTATGTCATGACCCCGAATTCTTTCTTATATCGCAGTTCCACATGCTTTCGAAAAAACCGTAGAACTCTAGGATCAGTTTCAAGGATTGACCATTTTTAAAGATGTTCTAGATCTAGTTGAGGATGGTCCCATTGCCTTCTAGGTACATGTTTATGTCACGACCCCAAATTAATTTATATATGACAGTTCCAAGTGATTTCGAAAAAACCGTGGAGCTCTAGGGTCAGTTTCATACAATGACCACTTTTACGGAATTTTTGGATCTTGCGCAGGACGGTCCGATGGCCATCTGGGTCCATGTTTATGTCACGATCCCAAATTAATTATAATATCGCAGTTCCTAACATTTTCAAGAAAACCACGGAGCTCTAGGATCAGTTTCGTGAATTTTTCACTTTCACGGATGTTCCGGATCTTTCGGAGGACGGTCCCATACCCATCAAGGTCCATGTTTATGTTACAACCCCAAATTCATTCTATCATCTCATTTTTTTTTTTTTTTAATTCTTTATTAAAGAGATTTTTAGCCTTAGGCTAGTTCATCTCTAATTCTATCATCTCAGTTCTTAATGTTTTCAAGAAAACCACGGAGCTCTAGGATCATTTTCATTGATTGACCACTTTCACAGATGTTCCGGATCTTCAGGTTCATGTTTATGTCACAAGCCCAAATTCTTTCTATCAACACAGTTCCTAATGTTTAACGGTCCCATGGGTATGGTCACGACCCCAAATTAATTTATATATGACAGTTCCAAGTGATTTCGAAAAAACCGTGGAGCTCTAGGGTCAGTTTCATACAATGACCACTTTTACGGAATTTTTGGATCTTGCGCAGGACGGTCCGATGGCCATCTGGGTCCATGTTTATGTCACGATCCCAAATTAATTATAATATCGCAGTTCCTAACATTTTCAAGAAAACCACGGAGCTCTAGGATCAGTTTCGTGAATTTTTCACTTTCACGGATGTTCCGGATCTTTCGGAGGACGGTCCCATACCCATCAAGGTCCATGTTTATGTCACAACCCCAAATTCATTCTATCATCTCAGTTCTTAGTTTTTTTTTTAACTGCAGAGCTCTAGGATCATTTTCATTGATTGACCATTTTCACGGATGTTCCAGATCTTCCGGAGGACGGTCTCATGGCCATCTTGGTCCATGACCCAAATTCATTCTTATATCACAGATCCTAATGTTAAAAAAACACGGAGCTCTAGGATCAGTTTCATGGATGGTCCTCTTTTACGGATGTTCCGGATCTTCCGGAGGGCGGTCGCATGGCCATCCAGGTACATGTTTATGTCACGACCCCAAATATTTTTTTGTATCACAGTTCCTAATGTTTTCAAAAAAACTGCAGAGGTCTAGGATCAGGATCATGGATTGACCATTTTTACGGATGTTCCGAATTTTTCGAGGACCGTTCTGTTGTCTCCAGGATCCATATATAGGAACCATGACTTTATTCTGGCTAATTGTGAACATTTGTGCCCATTAATCTAAATTACAGATCTTGCGACACTTGCAAAACCCTACAAACACACCTTTTAAAAAAACGTGTAACAACTCTTTTCGCTTTTAAAAAAAGTAGACGACTCTATTTTCAAGTGTTTTGCAACCAAAATAATCTAGAAACCATAGGAATTCTAAAGATACCACAATTTTTGAAATTCATTAAGAAATGGCTAAGTTGTGTCATTGCAAACTTGCCGTTACACGTTTTTCGGAGGCTTCGTAGTCGGCGTAAAGTTTTTTACCCACCGTATTCGGAGTGTTAAGTTGATCGGATATTGTGACGCGGACTGGGCTAGTGATAGCTCGGACAGGAAATCCAATACGGGATATCTGTATCAAGTTGGAGATGCAACAGTGTGCTGGGCCAGCAGGAAGCAGGGAAATGTTTCTCTGTCGAGCATGGAAGCTGAGTACATCGCTCTGTCCGAAGCTTGCAAGGAGGTTGTATGGCTGCGGCGATTGCTGACAGAGATGAACGCGGAACAACGTGGGCCGACTGTCATCTACGAGGACAATACTAGCTGTATAAGTTTCGTGGAGGTCGAGCGCCAATCAAGATTATCCAACGTATTGACACCAGAATGCACTATACGAAGGATTTGGTGCAGAAAGGAATCGTTATCCTGAAGTACTGTGCTTCGGAGATAATGGTAGCCGATGTACTGACCAAGCCTGTCGGATGCGTGAAGCAGAAGCAGTTTGCAACTGCGCTGGGCTTGACCAACGGGGACGATCGAGTCGAACGTGGTGCGTAGCTCCAATATCGAGGAGGAGTGTTGGTGGGGGCGATATTTATATACGCCACCACTGCGACACCGACGATGAGTCGGCAAACCAGTCGACGAACGAGAGAGAGGAGAAAGAGTAAGTAAAGAACAGAAACGACTTTCAGTTACTTTTGTACCGACCGCGAATAAAGTTGTTTTCGTACCGAGCTCCGTGTTGCGTTTTTCTTTTCTGGCCTCGTTACGCGTTCACCCGAGTTTCTGCCTTGTGTCGGGTTCTGTCCGCTGTGATAACCTGCTGGTCGATCCCGTTTTACCACATCATGCTGGTACATGGTAAACCAATTTTTTTATTGATTTCTATAGCAAAGCAGACAAACGTGTCTCTGATCCTGTCATCTTGCGATTTTTATTCGAGCTGCAAAAATTGGGGAAAAACGATATTTTTTCTGGAATTCAGTATGGATTTTTATAAATATACTTGAAAAATGTTGCACTTACTTCTTGGTGACACACTAAACATCATTTCCAAGAGCAAATTTTGCTAGAATTGAGCAAATTTGTTGCGAATATTTTAGTTGGTAATCAAACATACGACGAGTGAAATTGAATTTTCTAGAACTGGCATTTCATTAGACAGATCGAATAAAATTTACCGAGTATCCAGCAAAACATTTCAGAATGCTGGATGGTCGGTGAAATGTGATTTTGCTGGAACCAGTTCAGCAATTCAGTTTGCTGGAACTTGAATCTAAATTTTAGTGTGTACCATCGGTATCAGTAAGATGCAAATCTCTAAAAGTATATATTAGGTTGTGTTGATAGATAAAGCTACGGATTGTTAACAGCACTCACTGTCCGCAATTCTAGTCGGACGGTTTCAGCGAGAGATGTTTATTCTACGTTAATATTTTCAGTGAAATCACTTCGCACTCGGGACATGTTGTCAACACAGTTTGTTTTGGTTTCGCCTTGTTTATCGATTGTTATTTTTCCACCCGTCAGATCTCAGATCGGCTTCACATCGAAAGCGCAGCGAGTCGTTCGTTTTTCAAAAGATCTAAAACTTGAAATCTCCTATGGACAAAACGGAACTCAGTGACCTACCGGAAGAGGTGATGTTCAGATTTGAACTCATTCTAATTCTTAAACGGATAAATTTTCCATTGTAGCTCCTGCCGTGCATATTCGAACACCTTCCGCTTCAGGATCTAAAGAATGCTTCCCTGGTGTGCAGTGTGTGGTGCCAGGCAGCCTTTTCAGGGCGGATTCTCAGCCGGATAATGCTCAGGGTGGACTTTCGGGACGGAATACAGCACCAGTATCGACAGTACCTAGTGGAGAGCACCCGCGCATATCGGAACGTTGGATTCTACTACCGGAGCGATCAGTTGGATTTGGATGTGCTGCTGACGGTGTTGCAAAAGTTTGAGGAATCCATTGTCAGTTTGAAGATTTGTCCCAACTACTTCATCATGGTACACGATTTGCAGCAGATGCTGGTACAGGTATATAGCGTTGATAGGTATATTTTGGGTTTTCAAAGTGGAATTCAAGGAGAATTTGAAGATTGAAGAGGTAGACTGCATTTGGCACATTCTATCAGGATCAGAATGTATCCACATTTTAGACAGTTTTTGTACTGTATCTAAAAACAAAAGAAATTAAAAGTAGCCCTTAACTATTATTACAGATCTGGAAAGAGTGATATATTTCCTATAAGATTATTGACCGAGAGTTTATGAGAAATACGTCAAAAATAGACGTCACATTTAGTTTGACATTTCACTGTCTTATCTAGATAGAGCTGGAATTAGGGCGTAACAGCTTTCGTAAACAATGACTTCTCTCGATGATTTATCGAAAGTCATGGCTCTCCCTGGCAAATCGACATCACCATCGAGTAGAGGAAGACTTCTCCTACCCGATGGATATGTTGGTTTGTGTAGACGTGCCTTCAATTCCGAGAAATCAACAAGAGAAGTCATTGTTTGCAAAGGCTGTTACGCCCTAATTCCAGCTCTATCTAGTTATGTCGTTTTCGTTTTTGCGGTGTAGCTACACCGGTCCTACGCTGCCGTACACCGAAATATTTTAGGGTGTAGATATAGGATGCACCTTTGTTTACAAATAAATAATGTTGAGCTGTCAAAGACTCGCGCTTATTCCTGCTTAAGCCTAGTATACAGATCGAGGCGAAACGAAATTTGAAGCACGCGAAAAATCATGAATTTCCGCTAGCGAAAAATCAGGAATTTCCGCTAGCGAAAAAGGTTGTGAAAAAATGTTTGTGGAACATTTTCCAGTTTCCTTTTTTCGTAGTTTACAGTTCATATGAAACGAAATCGATCAGTTTACACCAGGGGGCTGGCAACCCTATATCAATCCTATACGTTTGACAGTAGGCAACATCACGGGCCTTATTTAAATACGGCCCGCCTGACGTATACATGGTGGAAAGGAACGGAAAACCGTGTTATAATCAGAAAGACAAGAGCAGATGATAGCATCAAAAACATGGCCGCTAGCCAGGCCCCTGGTTTACACCTCCGGTGAAGTGAAAATCTGACAGATACGCTCTGTCTCGAAACGTCAACTTTTCGCGAGCAGTGCATGCGTGAAAAAAGTTAACGTAAGCGAAAAAGATGCGATCCACAAAATTTGATTTCGCTTTTTTACAGTTCAAAGCGAAGTGAAATATTTGTCAATTGTGTAAAAAATATAGTATAAGGATTATACACAGGTGTGTAACTTAGATAGTATTTTATGGCAGCGGCTTGAGGAGTGAATCTTGGATAAAGAGCCGCCGTGTATTAAATCAATGGGCGCAGTCGTACCAACAATCAATACGAAAGTAACGAGTTTTAATAGGCTCACTACTTGAGTAGCCTATTGGTCCCAAGCAAATCGACTAACGTACCCCATTCTAGTATAAATTCCAGTACTACACTATGTTTGTTTTGATTCGCTATGAAAGTTTGTCAGATAAAATGAGGGGTTGGTGGATTTTCCTATGTTTCGAGGGGTGAATCGATTAGCTTGGGATCGAAGATAGTACCAGAGCTGAGCCAAAAAGTTGAGCTCGTTTCTTCGGGTCCTTCTGGTCTTAGAGCTACCTCTATGGTCGTACGGCCATAAACAGAAAACAGATGATATAATCCCATTTTGAGAAATTATCCTGCCACACACAATATATTGAGCGATAGTCATGAGAAAGTCAAATATCTCGTTCCGTTTTTGACAACAACAAAAAGTGAGAGTGGGATGCAAAACTCAAAATTACCCAAAATTAAGTAAAAAGAACTTAAATTTAGGGTAACTTTTTTTTTTTCTGTGTAGATTGCGGAACAGAGACCGACGTTAAATGAAGGAAATAAGAGGAGTAATCGAATGGAATTTTATGTATTAAAGGGGCAAGACAATATCAATTAATTGTGATATATTTCTAATATTTTAATATACTCACGCTTACGCTGCAGATACACTTGTATGACAAACTATGAAAATGAGCATTATTTGTATTATAAATTATGAACACATTCGTCACACTTGTATTATACAAGTTGAACTTGTATACACACTTAATCTAGCTCGGTAAAATCTCTAACAGCCGATTACTTCGGCATTCACTTATGCTGATATCTCTGCAAAATATCTGTTTGTTAGCTGATATTTCATAAAAATGTTATTTGTTAGCTGAGTCTCGGCAATTCTTTGACTGAATCTCAGCAAAATAAATTGCAGAATTACTCGGCTGTTGGAATCTCGGCGAAAAAATTAAAGTGTGTAGTTTTTGTATAGTTGATGTATAGCTGAGTACTGCGGACTCAACTAATGTGCTTGTCAACTGGGAACCAGCGAAAACTGTCAAACGGGAGCCAAAAATTCAGAAGCTACAAAAGTAGTTACTCTTCTGTTCCATTGCCAAAAATTGTTATCTCTTAGAAATCAGAAATTCTTTTTCGTAACATAATTTTATTTGTAAGCTCAACAGTAGAAACATAGAGGTAACTCTAAGACTAGAAGGCACCCAAGAAACGTGCTCAACTTTTTGGCTCAGCTCTGGTACTATCTTCGGTCCCAAGCTAATCGATGCACCCCTCGAAACATAGGAAAATCCACGAACCCCTCATTTTATCTGTCAAACTTTCATAGCGAAACAAAACAAACATAGTGTAGTACTAGAATTTCGAGTAGAATGGGGTACGCTTATACACGGTAAGAAAAAAGTACCCAACGGAAAGTTCACTTTTACCTACTTTTGACTAGTGTGTCTCCTTTTCTCCTTCTAATGTTGTCAAAAACGGAGGAGCAAAACCACCCAACGTTGAGTATAATCATATTTACCTACTGTTGGGTACAACTAACTTACTTTTGGTTAAAAAGCCAGTGGAAAATTCCATACGAACTGCACATAAGTAAATGAAAATTACTTTGACCCGCTTTACCTACTTGTGGGTTCCTGTACTATACTGCCCAGATGAGTGAAAAGAACTTACTTTTGGGTATTTTTTTTTTCTAACCTTGTAGATGTACTTGTTACCAATAGGCTAGTCAAGTAGTGAGCCAAATTTAAATCGTTGGTTTCCAACCGGTGACTGCACTGCACTGCCGGACCGTTCTCCATCTTTGATAACATAGAATTTATTATGAAAATGTTGATGGCATCGAATGACAATATGATCATTTGACCAATACAATACAATTTGGAAAGGGTTAATTGTTAACAATAGAATGTATTCTAGTTTATTGGTTTTTTATTGTACTTTTATGGTAGTTTTTATCGGGGAGCCTAGTAGAGATTGTCCTCAATAAAAAAATATAACGAATGACACTTCTGAATATCCACCCCTCTGCAGGTACCCAATCTCGAAAGTTTGTACGTCGTATCCCGGATATGCCCGGAGCTGGGCAACCGAGAACCGGGGGAACCCTTCCCCGTGATGCGCAAACTCAAACATCTGTACCTGGAAAACGACGCCGGCCTCCAGCTGGACGAGATCGACTTTCGCACTATGACGCCCAAAATAACTAGTCTGGACATGGATTGTGACTCGCAACGGGCCCTGGCAGTGTACGATCACTTCAGCTCACAGCTACGAGAGTTGGCTGTGTTCTTCAAAAGGGACGATTTCTTCCTTCCCTTCTGTGAGCTGCAATTTCCGCTCCTAGAAGTTCTCGACTTTTACTGTGACGATCAACAGTTTGACGTGCCGACAGCAGTCCAAGCGGTGAGTAATTTTTTTCGACGGTTACCAAAGCTGCGAAGGATAACACTCCGATGTAACGTCAATGAGGACGTGCTGGCAGCCATCACCGAGAGCTGCCCTGAATTGACGACTTTGTACCTGAAGGGAGATAACTTGGGTGAGAAATCGTTTCGCCATTTAGGACAACTGAAAAAGATGAAGGTATTTTTTTATTTCGCTAAATTCTCGAAATCATGAATTGGTCTAATGCTGCTTTTATTTGACAGTGCTTAAAAGTCGAGGGTTGGATTCGGTGTAATATTCTTCAAGGTTGCAGCCCTATTCCCTCGCTACGGCAACTGTATCTCCACTCGGTACTTATTGACGATACTCAAGGGTTTTTCCAGTTGCTGAAGGACATCGCCCCCAATCTGCAAATACTGGAAGCTATCGAATCGGATATCGACGACGAATGTCTGAATTACATCAGCTGTAATATCAACTCTTTGCGATGTTTGGTATTAGAGTTCTGTCCAAATGTAAGTCTTTCACCATGTTTCGGGATAATTTTGTTTTTCATAAAACCCTTTTTATAGCTCACTGAAGAAGCGTTTAGCTTCCTGGACCGTTTGAGCCAATTGCATGAGCTCAAGCTCGGTTACCTGGACGTACCGCCAAACCTTTTAGAACTGATCCCTCGTAACTCCATCAGGCGCTTTTCGCTGTATCGCTGCGACAAAGTGAGCTCCATCATGCGGCTACTAAACTAGTCTTTGATCTGGTATTCCCTCTGTTTCCTGTTACCTACAGCTCGATGACGCTATTTTACCCATGGTGCCCGAAAAGTTTCCCAACCTTAGTCATATGGAGATTGCCAGCTGTCACCGGATCACACTGGAAGGTGTCGAGCTGCTGCGTCAGCTGATGCCGGACGCCGATATCGACAGTTTCATGCTTTTCTAGCTAAACGGGAAAACTACAGGCTACTATACGGTGTACTTTGAGCGGATGCACAGCAAACGGGAGAGGCAGCGGGATGAAGTGTGACTCGGGTCCACAGTCCAAACAGTTGACCATATTTTTCTTAAACTTTGATGTAAGGTAGACAAGGGCGTAGTAGGATTTGGCCGAATGCCGAACACCGTTTGGCTACGCCTAAGAAGGTAGCTATAATTCTGATCTGTTTGTAATTTGCTGTAATGTAAATGCGAATCTAATAAAAAACCTAATGCATACAATGTATGGAAAAGTCAAAGCGATACGATCATAGAGGCAACCCTAAGACCAGAAGGTCCCGAAGAAACGTGCTCAACTGTTTGGCTCAGCTCTGGTACTCTCTTCGGTCCTAAGCAAATCTATGCACCCCTCGAAACATAGGAAAATTCACGAACCCTTCATTTTATTTGTTAATTTTTAGCGAATCAAAACAAACATAGTGTAGTACTAGAATTTCGACTAGAATGGGGTACGTTGATCGATTTGCTTGGGACCAATAGGCTAGTCAAGTAGTGAGCCAATTTTAAATCGTTGTTAGTTTCCAACCAAGGGGGGAGGAGGCTGTCAAATACGAACAATCGTCGCCTACCTCGCATAACTGGTTCCAAACGTAAACAAGCCATAAGAAACCTACAGCGTTTGTTTACGTTTGGAACCAGTTTCATACAAGATGATCAGTAGGCTGATTTGACAGCACGTCCCCCCCCCCCACCAGTTTCCAACCGGTGATACGATTCCAGCGCTGTGGTGGGAGTACGTGCGATTGAGGAGAAAGAGTTGAACAGAAAAAAAAAGACTAGAAGGTCCCGAAATAACGGGCTCAACTTTTTGGCTCAGCTCTGGTACTCTCTTCGGTCCCAAGCTAATCGATTCACCCCTCGAAACATAGGAAAAACTAATAACCCCTCATTTTACCTGTCAAACTTTCATAGCGAATAAAAACAAACATTGCGTAGTACTAGAATTTCGACTAGAATGGAGAACGTTAATCGTTTGCTTGGGACCAATAGGCTACTAAAGTGGTGAGCCAATTTAAAATCGTTAGTTTCGTATTGATTGTTGGTTTTAGTGTCCTTTTTCTTCCAATGTATACCACTACCGGAAAGGGAATTTCCCCTATCCGATTATGTTGTTGGTTTGCATGGGCATACTTCGGTTCCCGTGTAAAGGGCCTAACTACTTTTGTTTACAAATGCTTTAGTGCCGTTTTCAACTGTTACGCGAATAGAGCTAATAAACTATAGAGGAAGAATAGCGCTGCCGTCGCTGTCTAAACATATTTTCCTTACATCTAATAGAGACACAACTGTCAAAGCGAGAAAAAACTATGCAGTTTGACAGTTCTGTAGCCGGAATTATTCAACATCGGAACAAAGGGAACACCAGCGCTATTCTTCCTCTATAGTATATTAGCTCTATTGTTACGCGAGATATGAGAGAGCGAAATATATAAAAAGAATTGAGCTTAATGCAAAATCAGCTCGTTGAAGAGGTGAGTCTCCTTCCACCCCAAAGCTGAATTTCAATGTGATCCACTGCGATAGACCTGAGTGCCGAACAACATATTTTCGGCGGCGGCGTTACAAGTGGCGGCGTGGTTCGGCGAGAGTTTATTTTTAATGATTTAGAAAAAAAGATTCTTTCCAAACCAATCGCACATGGACAAAAAATGCTACCCACATTGGAATTCAGATTACTCAAAATCGCTAAAATGTCCCGAATAGAAATCTACATTAGCCCAACGTTTGATTTTGATGTCTACATCAGCATCGAAATCAAATGTATGCCTGATGTCAAACATTAGGAAACATTATGATTTAGTTGTATTTAAGCAACGTATCATGGTGTATACATCAGAAATTTTGGAACAAAATTTTGCCATTCTAATGTCGGTCTGACGTCAAAAATTTCAATCTATTGACATTAGAACCAAACGTTTTAAGGATGTTTTCAGATGTACAAAACGTTAGAACTAAACGTTGTTCGGATGTTTTTAAATGTAAACGTTTTCTGATGTTTTCTAATGTAGAGGTTTCCTGATGTTAGAATCAAACGTTTTTCGGTTGTTTTCGGATGTAAAAAACGTTAGAACTAAACGTTGTTCGGATGTTTTTATATGTAAATGTATTCTGATGTTTTCTAACGTAGATGCCTCCCGATGCTGGAACCAAACTTTTTTGGATGTTTTCGGATGTACACAACGTTAGAACTAAACGTTGTTCGGATGTTTTCAATTGTACTTCGTGTTTGTTGTTCTCTGATGTTTTCAGATGTACAAAACGTTTAAAGTAAACGTTGTTTGAATGTTTTCAAATGTAGATGTTTACTAATATTTTTAGATATACAAAACACTACACACTAACTTTAGATTACTGGAGTCAGTAAAATTTTACTGGGTTTTTGAATTGCGGATCGCCCAGTAGTCATCACAGAAATAATTTGCATTACCGAACTGTCCGTAAAGTCAATCTGTCAAAAATAACTGTTCATTCAGTAATTGGTTCGAGTTGCGTTTAATGGAAAACCCAGTATTTTCTTTTTGTTTATTTTGCTGCAATTTAACTGAAAAGACAGTTATTTGGTCCCTTAATTATACCGTGTTACCCAGGTATATTAAAAACAGTGAATTTGCAGTCATAAAAGCATGAATCCTGGTGCAATTCACCGTTTATAATATGCCAATTAATATGACGACTTAATCCCTTGACGTACCCCGGAATAGCGCGTCGACAGTGAAAGCAAACAATGCAAACATCCATTTTCTTAATCCAAATTTGTTGGATACCAAGGAACTGCAAAGAGAGTAACGTGTTGGTACTAACGAAATAGTTCTTCAATTTCGCTGTCGAGCTTTCTCAGTTCCGTCATGATATAATTCAAATTTTAACAAAACCGCGCGATTAAACACTTGCTCCCGGATTTTACTGAAGCTAAAATGGCGGCGAGAATAAAATTAACAGGTTAGAGTTTTACAATTCGTGGTCGGTAAAACAAGGTGGCTATTTTGCTGACCAGTCGGTAAAAAAATAAAGACTACTTTGGGTACAGTAATTATTTTTGCTGACTTTTCGTGAAATCACGAAAATTTGGAAATTAACGACTTTCTCAGTAAATAAATATTCTGTGTTCAGTATTTTGCATCAAACGATACCGAAGTTCAGTTTGTGTTTTGCAAAACGTCGGTTATTCACCTGATTTAAACTGAATGTTCAGTAAATCTTTCGTTTTACCGTGTAAGCCCAGTACAAAAAAATACCGAACAACTAAATGCTGGATTAGTGTGTAGAATCTTACTTTTCAAATGCTTTCAATTATATTTACAACACATTAGAATTAGAAACATGATCGTGTAAACACTACACACGATTGTTGTTAGATTACATCATAAAAATGCGTACATAACAGTCAATGCTGAAGCTCCCGTTTCCCACCAGTCAGTTAACTGACCTTAGCTAACCTAATATCATTGCGGCAACTATCTATGCGGCAGGGGAACTACACAGATAAAAATTCTGAATTATAATTGTGATGTAAACATTCATTCACGTAAACTTAAATTTAATTTCACACAATCGAGCAACTTGTAAACAATGTTGTTTACAAAGATGGGCTTTTGTATACAATATGTAAACTTATATGATATATGACGCTCCATTTGTGTGCATCATATTGAACAGAAATTTACACTACTTTTTGAGCTGTGTATGCCATTAGCGCGCTGAGAGTTGTTAGACCACTAACATAGACGCCTATTCGTGGGTGACGAGGCACTTGGTGACATTACAGCGAGCTTGGCGATTATTATAGTATTTTTGAGTGAACTACCAGACAATCATGACAATGTGATCGCTGCGCCTCCAGATCTCCCTTTAAATCGACCCACTGTGCCAATTTGTCAATAATGCATGACACTTTGGACGGGGTTGCTGGCTTGTTTGGTCCACTGTTCGGATATACAAGTGGCAAGCCTTCCCCTTCACGGATCGCTCCAAAAATTGCTGCAAACGAACTGCAAATATATAATAAACAAAATTATTGTGCATGAAAAATATGACAATGGACAATGCTCGAGGAGCACTGGGAGTTTTCGAACGACGCGTGCTTAGGACCATCTTTGGCAGAGGGTATATGAAAATGGTGAATGGAGTAGAAGAATCTAGATAGAGCTGGAATTAGGGCGTAACAGCCTTTGTAAACAATGACTTCTCTTGTTGATTTCTCGGAATTCAAGACACGCCTACACAAACCAACATATCCATCGGGTAGCAGAAGTCTTTCTCTAATCGATGGTGATGTCGATTCACCTGGGAGAGCCATGACTTCCGCGAAATCATCGAGAGAAGTCATTGATTACAAAAGCTGTTACGCCCTAGTTCCAGCTCTATTTAGGAATGAACCACGAACTGGCGTAACTTTATGGCGAACCCAATATCCAGAAAGTCGCTAAAAGTGGAAGGGTACAATGGGCGGGACACGTTGTAAGAATGCCGGACAAAAATTCCGCAAAAATTGTGTTTTCCTCAAATCCGGCCGGTACAAGACGCAGAGAAGCACAGCGTGCTAAGTGGTTAGACCAAGTGGAGCAAGATGTAGGAAGTGTGGAATGCTCGAGAAATTGGAGACAAGCAGCCAGGGACCGAGTTAGTTGGTGCAACTTTGTTATACAGGTTAGGTTCCGAGGGACGTCGGACCAGCAAAAGTAAAGTAAGTATCTTATACGTTGGCTAAATGGTTATCCAAACTGCCTAAAAGTTCGAAGAAATAGTTATTAGATAGTACAGAATTCTAAATTGCCATTATTTATGAAAAATTTACATTAAAATTCTTAAATCTCAGTCTTTCCCTGATTGCGAACCACACTTTAAATTTTATATAAACTTGCGACCCATCTTGTGTACCATCATAAGGCTTGATGAAACTTATTCCGCCCGGAAACATGTTTTTTCGGAATTATGAAGTCATTATAGGGTTAACTACACCATTTTCGGCCTATTAAGCACAACCCGCACTTAGTCCTTCTTTATCTAGCGTAGTTTAGCACCAAACGGAATGTTATTATTACTGATGGCTTTCAAATTTATTTACCTTTCCGTATGTACCGTAAGATTTGATAAAGAGAAACCAATCGTTGAGATATTGTCAAAAGTCTAACACTGCTTCTTGACACCAAACTCGGCCTACGGATTGTAAACTCGTCCTAGCG